CCAGGCTGTCTGATGTTCAGGCAACAGCAACCATCCTGGGGAAAGCATTATTTCCTGTGAATTCTCATCAGGCCCTGTTGCCAGAAACATGGGCAGTCATCCCAACTTCTAGGCCTCTAGCTTTTTTGGTCTTGTGGCTGAAACTCTATCTCCTGCCAGTCCCAAGACTGGTTTTGCAAAGTCCTAGGAGCCCAACTTTACTCAAAAGAGGTAGTCAAGCTCAGAGAGATCACGCTCCTGAAATTTTTCTCCTGAAAAATAATGAAGAGAAATATACAACAAACTCTGGGTTTCTCTTTCAAAGTAGGTAAGTTCTTTTGTCACGCTACTTTTAACCCATCTTCCCATGTGCAAGTATGTTGCAGTTACAACACACTTTGAATGATTTTCTGCATCTGTGCACCCAGAAGCCCATTATGTATACCCATGGTTGTTTTGGTTTTTGTTTTGCTGAAAATAAAGAAACATTTAAAAAAACTGGAACACAAATTGTTTCATACTATGGGGTTGGGGTATAATTCTTGGAGAATGTGTGTTTATTTATTTATTTAGCATCATACATGGAGAATGTGCAGAACTTACTTGTCTAACTAAATTGTATCTATTACAGCAAACCAAACATTAACTAAATTTCTGAACAGCCATTTGAATTCAGAGGTGATAAAAAGTCCACCTGCTAATACATATCTCTTGCGCAGTTAAAATTCCAGTGTGTGGGGGGGGGAGGGGATTTAATGGCAAACGTTGATGTTCCATTAAACAATGGCACTATGTCGTTTTTTTTAAAAAAAAAAACCTGGTTGCAAACGTCATGCTGCTAAAATACCAAATTGGGTGAGCCTAAGAATCTGCTTAGCTCAGCAGCTTGTGTCCCCCCCCCCCCCCGTCGTCTTCAGCCTGATCCTGGTGAGAATCTATCCAAGAAAGGCAATAGTGTGTGTAGTCCAAGTGCTGCTTTTCAGGAAAAGCAACGCAGTCTGTACCGGATCCGAAGGTTCCTTTGGGGTATTGTACCTAGTGAGTGTGCTTTGGAAGGCACAGGTGTTAAAGCAGCGCATTCTTTAATTGAGGAAGGAAGGAAGGAGGGAGGGAGGGAGGAAGGAAGGAAGGAAGGAGGGAGGGAGGGAGGGAGGTTGGGTCCTTCCTTCCTTCCAAGGAAGGAAGGAGGGAGGGAGGGAGGGAGGGAGGTTGGGAGGAAGGAAGGAAGGAAGTTAAGGAAGGAAGGAAGGAAGGAAGTTAAGGAAGGAAGGAAGGAAGTTAAGGAAGGAAGGAAGGAACTCTTTTACAGATTGCTTTTTACCAGAGGCCCAAAAGACCCATCTCTGCCCCGAAGAGCTTGCGTTTCTCCTTTCACAGTAAGGAGAGGAAGGGAGCAGCAAGGCCAACACAACTGGAACTAAACGGGGGAAATGCCGCTGGCCGTGGCAGAGAACTGGGTTCGCTGAGAGGCGGCTTCTACGAAGGCAAGAGAAGCTTCCCCGGTTCCTTCAGCTCTGCTCCCCGGAGCTCAGACGCCTTCCCACCCCCACACACAAACACCTAGCTCGGCTTCCTCCCCCCCCCCATGCAGACGGGAGTCGCCACCCGCGCCCCTGCCTTTCCAAGCCCGCCTCTCGGCTCTTCCTGCGGGTCTTTAGGCGCAAACTTAGCCTTGGACCCTCCGGGCCTCATCCGGGCGCGTGGAGTTTCTCCGCCACGGGCGGAGCCCCTCTCAGTCCCGAACTGCGGGAAATGGCACCGGGCGTCCTTGCAACGGGACGGCGGCAAGGCCAGGCCTCCTGGGAGCAGTGAGATCAGGCTCAAAAGCCCAGCCCAGCGCAACCCCGCAGGAATCAGGCAGCAGAAGGAAGAAAGGCAACGGAAGAGCTGCAGTGTAGCAACCGGATTGGGGGGGGGGGGGAAGGCAGGAGGGAGAGGGGAAAAAAAAAAAGAAATCTTTCCTTCCCACCAACGCACACTTCTCTCCCCCCGGAGACACAACACGAGGTTGGGAGCGGGGACACAGCAAACGAGCGAAGAGGACCTTCAAAGTCGCCTCTTCAAGATCCAAGATCTTTGCCGAGGCAGAATGGAAATGATTATGTTAATTAAGGCTGGCTCTGTAAATAATGGTGGCTGGAGAGAATAGATAGATCGAGTCCCCGTGTGTCTTTAACGCGATTAACGTAATAATCTAGTAATTTGTAGCATGCAGTGAATAAATAACGCCCCTTAAAATACAAGACGTATCCAGCGGCAGCAAAGAAATTAATTAGCAGTGTCTTAACGCATGGGCATTAAGGGAAGATTAAAAAAAAAAAAAAAACCAACCACCACCCTCCCTCGCCTCGAAATACATCTTTAGAACAGGGATCTTTTTTTAATGTAAAAGGCGGATTCATATTCGTTTGTTTGGATTCGGATTTGATTGCTCTATTCCCAGTTTTGGATTCAGGTTCGTTCCTTTAGCGGGCTGTGGCTCTGAAAGGGAGGTGTCTGTCCATGTGTTTGAAATCGAAGAATTTCAAACACAAAGAATGGCCCAAAGTGTCAAATTCGGCTGGATCGTGTCCCCTCTTTTCTCACGTGCTATTCCGACCCACCTTCCCCCCACGGCCCCCTCCACTCTCTGTATTTTTTTTCCTGCTCGCAATCTTTTCAAATTGGTGTTGGAATGGAGGATTAAAATCTTCGCCTTCTCCATTCTGTGGTCCCTCTTCCCAAATTAGACGCCTTGTCCCAAACTGAAAACCTTTCAGACGACGCACCCACGAACCTCGCAGGTGGCCCGACCCTGCCGCTTTTAAGTTTGTTGGTGCAAAGTTCTCCTCGGAAAGTTTCTGCGCTGTAGCTAAACTCCCGGAGTTTAATAGAAACGGGTTTAAACCCGCTCCGGGGCTTAAAAAAACAGGAGCGGGCGGGGTAGGGGGGGGGAAGGACAGGGAATGACAGCACGGAGATGGATCTCCCGGCCACTGGTAATTGTTGGACACACGCCGTGTTGCTCCGACGTGTGTGGAGGGGCTGAAGGAAAGAGGGGATTGTTTCCCAGCCCCCTCGAAGTGGGGAGAGTGATAAGTAATAACGCGTGTTTAACAAGCCTCGTAAATCCGAACTTGTTGAGAGGCGTCCCTCCCGCCCCGGCCCCCCTCCAGGCTCGGACGCAAGAGGAAACCTCGGTTCCCCTGCCGAAACAATGGCTACGCCGAACCTTTAAGGTGAAGGCGCACATGCCCCGCAGCCTTTAAACTTGGATCTCGCCGTTATAGTTAAGCGCCATTGGGAGAGGTTGGAGACGCCGGGTTCGTTCTTTCCATGCGCTCAAAACAGGCACCTGGGTGCTTACTACAAAAATCCGTTCCGTTAAATTTTCTGGACCTCCCGTGCAAAGGCTTAGTTAGCCTACTACAAAGGGGCTTGGTTGGTTCCTGCCGATTTGATTTGGGGAGAGAAAATAAACGAAGCTAATGAAACCCAACTTCTATCTGCCACTGAGTTGTTGTTTTTTTTCCTTGCTCTGCTCCGAAAAATACACATCCCCCACAAAGAAGCGTACTTCGACAGCAAGCAAAACAGCAAATAAACTCTCCCCAAATTGCACCCTGGTAGAGATTCCTGCCCCAACCGAGAAACTGGGACAGGGTTTCCTCTCCGCCGTCCCGGGTGGTATCCCACGGGCGATTATTTATCCCGCGGTGAAATGAAGACGTGTGACAGTGCCGTCCTTTGATCACCCTTCGGATTTAGCCATCTGAGGTGGCCATAAGGAATCGGGTGGTTTGGCGTTTTTGTTTTGTGTTTTTGATAGACAGATACCGACGGTGTCATAAAAGGTACATTATTATGAAATTCGCTTCGGTGGAATGTAAATATGCGCGTGACACATGAGCAATAACTTTAAAAAAAACATAAATGGACTGGAGGTCGCTTTGGAGAGGGTCTTTGCAAAGGGTTGGTTTGTACGCTCCTTACTCCTGTTCACAGGAAAAGCCCGAGACGTGGGAGGCCAGGGATGCACAGGGAAAAAGGAAGAATCAGAACAGCTGTACACTCGCGGAGTTCCACCGAGCAGGGAAAAAAAAAGGAAAAAAAAAATGTCAAGGAAAGGGAGCGCGCGACCATCTCCGGGCCGAGCGGCCGAGGAAGCCGCGGGGAAAGGGGAGCTGAGCAAAGCAACCCCGGCGTCCTTTGCCTTTCGGTTGATTATGGTTGCAGTTTGGGCTTTGCTCTCTCTCCCCTATCCCCACCCCCCCACCCCCACCCCCCAGCTTTCCCTCGCCGGGAAGGCTTGCCTGGAGCCGGATTGTCCCTCAAGTCCCCCGGGAGGCAGGCGAGCAGCAAAGCACGCTGGTGCGGCCCCGTCTGGCTATCTTGGCTTCCACCGCCCCTCAACGGTTGGCCACTGCCGTCTCCAGCCCTCCACTTTCGGCAGCCGCGGCGGGTTTCTCCGGGGATTTCCGCTGCTCTTGAGGGGGAGGAACAGCCGGCACCAGCCGAGGAAGTTCGGAACCTCGGGCCTTTAATTTGGGCAAGCGCGGTCTTACAAGGCAACCCCGATAAACTCCCTTTCCCTTACTCGTCGCCCCAGATTCTTCCCAAACAGTCCCGCAGCTGCCCACCCCTCCCTCCCTCCCTCGGTTAACCCTCGTCAAGTAGCGGCTTGTAGGCCTGCTTGGCAAGAAAACCCCCGCCGAAACCCTGTCGGTCCTGGAAAAAAAAGACCTTTGGATTCGGCCAGGCTTTTGCCAGGAGCGATCTGAGACTTTCTCAGCAAAACCAGTTTCTCCCAGCATCACCCACACACACACACACGCGTCGTGAACAACAAAAACCTGCCTTCGAGTCGAGGATTTCTTAATGTGGACAAGGCTTTTTGAAAGGGCCCCCTTCGTGTGAAAACGGGGGAGCGCGTTCAAGAAACCTCAGAAGTCCGCCTTTTCCTCATGAAATAAATGCAAGCGGCTGAAACTGGGGGCGCCCCTGAACGGCAGCCCTTTAACCAGGGACCGAGTCCCGTCCCGTTCAGTGGAACGCCTTTATTTCCCAATAAATAGGCATCGGGTCCACTTCGGCTGGATGGCGCCTTCCGTCTAGGGTCGTCCCTTTCAGATCCGTTCTATTTTTTTGTCCCAGCTCGTCGCCTTCGCCTGCTCCTTCGCACTTTAATCCAGGCCTTCTTTTCTTTCTTCCTCTGTCGGTTGATGGGACGCCTTGTCTTAAAAAAAATAAATAAAATAAGTGTTTCAATCAAAAGGTTGGTAGTGTCGCTTGCACTCCTTTTTAAAAGAGCCTATTCGCAAATTAAATTCCACAATTCCAGAAAAGTATTGTGTGTGTGTGTGTGTGTGTGTGTGTGAGAGAGAGAGAGAGAGAGAGAGAGAGAGGGAGGGAGAGAGAGAGAGAGAGAGAGAGAGAGAGATCATTTGAAAGAGAAAGCAGAAAAGGAAACTTTACACAGCTCCGACTAACTTTGTGTCAGAAATCCCACAAAAGAAAAATCCTGAATACAATCCAGCATTCAGAGTGGCGGCGGTTTTTCTGACGTTCTTCCTCTTTCGGGAAGGGACGGTAAAGGGTAGGAGAAGGGGGGAGGTTTCAGCTTTCTTAAGGCTGAAGTCCAGATTTTCCCGGCTTTCCCAAAATCGATTTAAGTTGCACTTCTATATCTACTTACCTCGAAGAAAAGCACTACTTCATAAAAGAGATGGGTGAGTTGCAAAGCTGCTCTGTCAATGTGTAGGCTGTATACACCCTTTAGACGGAGGGCTTCAAAATCCTATGGAAGTCTGTGTCATTGAATTGGGGGGGAGCATATACTTCTCTCCCCAAAGTGTGTGTGTGTGTGTGGGGGGGTTAATCTGGACTTTACTTAATGGAAGGAATGGGAAAAGGAAGGTGGCAACATGGGGGCAGTTATCGTATAAAGGCCAAGTAGAGATCCACAGGTAAAACAAGGGGTGCCTGCAATGTCAGAGAAAGAGAGAGGCGCAATGGGCCTTGGAACAACAAATGAAGCCAAGAACTTAGCTCCTCAGAGTAACTTCTACTTATAACTAGGCAAGCATCTAGCTCCTCTCACGTTTTTTTTTTTAGGTTCTTTGAGAACCGAAAATCTGTTTGTCACCTGTTTGTCACCGTTGCTTCTTCTTCCTCCTGTCTCTTCCCCTCCCTTCCCCCTCGCCTTGTATGTGTGTGTGTGGGGGGGGGGACAGTGAACCTTTCCCTTCTTCCACCTTGAAGCTTCTCTTTTAACCTGGCCCAGGGACTACTGCAGTGCAGTCTATCCTGATTTAGGTGGCCACCTAATTTAAGGACCCTTAAGCCAAATCCCCCCCTCAGGGATTGACCAGACCTACTTGACTTGAGTGATTTAAGGAAGGAAGGAAGGAAGGAAGGAAGGAAGGAAGGAAGGAAGGAAGGAAGGAAGTTGTCCTGGTTCTTCTATTTTGCTGGCTCAAAATAATAGCTACAAGTCCCACTGGTCTGAGTTAGAAGAACTTCACAGGTGGCTGGCTTGTGACCCAAATCTTTTATTTTCTCCCTTGGAGTTTGGCAATGGGTAGACCAGTAAGAGGCAAGAAGTCGCCTCCAGACTCCTAGGAAGAAAGCTTGAACAGAGAAGAAATTAAGAAGTATTCAGGACGAATCCAGTGATGCCAGTAAACCATTCACACAATGCACAACTACAGATTAGTGGTTTGGATGTGTAGCCAGTTAAGGTGCATGATGCGCAAGTTTAAGCCTAGGCTTGTTTCTTGCATTGATACTTTACTATTTAGATCATCACCTCCAGATCATTTCAAATTTTTATCAAAAGCAAGGTATGGGGAAGACTTGAGATCGAGTGCTAATCCAAGTAGAATAAATAATCTGTGTTTGAAGTAGAAGCAAGAGGGGAAAAACGAAAAAAGCAGCACCTGAAATATGAATTAATCCAAAGAAGGAGGGTCGACATTCACACATTTCTATTTCCTGCCTTCCTGTAGTTAAGGGGCCTAAAAGTGACATAGGTGATTTACAGGAATTGTAAGATTTACAGGCTACTTCTGCTTTAGCGGATATCGTAATGGCTGTTTCTTTGTGGTTGTAAACTTGTATAGGTTACGGCCACGTTGGAAACACATCTTAGGCCAAGAAGGCAAGGGGGAAGTAGTTGACTTCTGATGTCCCACTTTGTAGGAAGCTTCCTTGAAGACCACGAAGCCTCATTGTGTGGTGCGCCGTCTACCTTCTGCAGAGCTTGGAAAGCCACACAAAACGAGCCCTCTGGGTTAGCTTCAGCAAGAATTACTTGTTGTAAAACCTTCAGACGGTCGGGACTGCACACTCTCTTCCCCGGTTTAGAAACGGGGTGGTCTCGCTTCTCTGGATGCTGGTTGGCGGGAATTAAGCACCCCATGACGAGCCGTCCAGGAGGACGGGCGGAGCCCCTGCGGTCTTTGCTACCTTGCCCAGGAGATACAAAGGCGCCTTCCACTCCAGCCGGGAGAAAGAGCTCCGCGGCCTGGCTTCAGGGCCCGAGCGAGAATGGCAGGGACCCTAGAAGAAGGCAGCGGATCGAAACCGGAGAGCAGAGAAGCGATGCCAAGGCCACGCCACGGTCGTACAAAAGACAACAAATTGTGCACCGCTAGGCGGCAATTTCTTAAAACGAAGAAAATGGTGCGCTCCCCGCGCCTGCCGTTTTCTCCTGGAGGTTTTAGAAAGCAACAAAAAGATCTCCTCTTCAACGCTGGCGGGCTTCCATCTTTACTCCCATACAAGAACGCGAGGATTTTTTAAAAGTTTATTTACTGCAAAGGCAGATGAGGAAGAGAAGAGCACAGTACTCACTTGTTTAGTATGGCAAGGAAGAGGTTTCTGGGAAGAGCAGCTGGAAGGTTTAATTCTGGGTTTGCGCTTACTGCTTCGATTAGAGACTACGACCCAAACAAAAATGAAAGTCAGTGGAAAGTAAGTGGCAGCTCCACCCTTCCAAAAGTGTAACTTCCTCACTGGCCCATTCGCTTACAGCCGACTCTGAGCCGAATTGCGAGGAGTCAGTTGTAAGCGCTGGAGAAAAAAAAAAAAACCCCGACCCCGTTTTTGTTTTGTTTTGTTTTGTTTTGTTCGGAAGGGGACACACTAAACAGCGAAACCCCAATGTTGGGCAGCTGTAAAATCGTGTAGACAGGTTGTCATACAGCAACGGGGGCTTTAAATACGCACGCACGCACGCACGCACACCCCCGCCCCGCACAGCAGCTGCGCGCAGGCACGCATACACACTCTCTCTCTCTCACACACACACACATCAGGGCGAAGTGGTCCTGGCAGGATTGCTACACCACGTGCTCCGCGGAGGGGGGAACGCGGGGTCGGGTAGGCGGTGCTTGGAGCTCAAGTGGGTGCCAATCAAAGCATCAACTTCAAATTGTATCTGAAAGATCAGCCGAGGACCTTAGGGCAGGCGCATCAGTCGGAGCTCAATTGTTGATCAGATCACATCTAAGGGATTTAGGAGCGCAGACGAGCCGAGATTTGAGGGAAGACGCCCCACCGAGTTTACCCACACGCACTGCGGCCGCCTCCTCCTCTTCCTCCTCCTCCTCCTCCTCCTCTTTCCACCGCCTCCTCCTCCTCCTCCTCCTCCTCCTCCCCCTCCCCTCTTCCCCATGCAAATTCTCCGATCCGTCTGAGCGGGAGAGACGGGACCGATCGCAGAACCAAAAAGAAAACCAACTCGGACGGGGGCTTCTCTCTGCCTGCCCTGCCCTGCCTGCCTGCCCTGCCTGCCGCCCGAAGCAGTCAGGAGAACCCGGCCGGGGCGCTTCTCCGCCCTCCGCTTGCCGCCCGCCGACCCCTGGCTCGCTCTTGCCCCGTCGGCGGTGCGTCCGGTCCCTCCCCGCCCGCGCGCCCGGGATGTCCTTCCCGCAGCTGGGCTACCCGCAGTACCTGAGCGCCAGCCAGGCCGTCTACGGCGGCAGCGACCGCCCGGGGGTGCTGGCCGCCGCCGCCGCAGCAGCAGCAGCCGCCGCCGCCGCCTCGGGCCGTCCAGGAGGTGCCGAGCTGAGCAGCGGCTCCACCGCCGCCGTCACCTCGGTGCTGGGCATGTACGCCGCCGCCGCCGCCGCCGCCGGACCCTACAGCACGGCCAACTACAGCGCCTTCCTGCCCTACACCGCCGACCTGACCCTCTTCTCGCAGATGGTGAGTCTGGCCTCGATCGGACGCGGGAAGGGGGGACGGAGGGGAGGGGAGGGGGGGACGCGACCGGGAGCTGGGGAAAGGTCGCCACTTTGGCAGGCGAAGGTCTCCCCCTCGTCCGGGCCCTTTGCTTTCGCCACGCTCCTCCGCTGTCCAAGCGGGGGCTCCTTTCTGGGGACTCGCCTTCCTCGTATCCGGGCCCGCGGCGGGTCTCCGGGACCGTCTCCGAGCCAGTTTTTGGCTCCGCTTTTGACAGGTCGGTCTGGAAGGGCAAAGCGCTCGGTCGATCCGGGGCGCCCTTCTCGGGCTTCTCCGCCTTGCCGTTGCTGCTGGAACTTGGGAGATTTCCTTGATTTTTTTTGGGTGGCCGGGAAAGCCGCGAGGTCGCCGGCCTCCCCTAAACGCCCCCGAAGAAAATCGGACCGGGATTTCTCCCCCCCTCCTCCCCTCCTTTCCTCCCTTCCTTCCCGCGCCGCTGCCTTTTTTCCAAGTCTTGTCCTAATTTCATAAAATCACTCTCGCTTTTCATTCGAAATGAAGGAATTGACTTGCGGTGTTAATTCGAGTCCTCATTTAAACCACGGTTACAGATCCATTTGAATCCCTCTCCCCCACCACCCCCTGTTCAAAATGGCACATTTATGGCGATTATTATTATTTTTTTGCAATTTAATTTAAATGAAATTAGCTGCTTATTGTTCTTGTTCTTTGATGGCTTTTATGCGGACGTGTTTTTTTAGGATGTTTTCAGAAGAAACGGGTTTTCTCTTTCAGGTTTATTGTTTCGCAGGTTTTATGTAGCCGCACTTAAATGCTAAACAGATATGAAACAATTGCGTGTATAACTTGTCCTTGATAGATTTACTGTCTGTTATTATGTTCGTGGTGTTTAAGGATGATTTAAATTGAACAGAAAGAAGTAAATATATTTAGTAAGGTAATGTCATACCTACCTTTGACAAAAAAAAAAAAAATCACTGAAAAATGAAATACAATCTTTGTAAAAAAATAAAAGAAATCCTTAGAAAAGCATCTTCATTCAACTGTATACAGCAGGCAGTGGCTGAAAAAGACCATCTATTTTCACTTACTGTCCACCAGTAAATGATAAGTAGAAGCAGTAATGATTTTCAAGTGGCTACTTCAAAAGAATTCCCAACAGGGGAATACAGAATTTATCATTTCGACAACCAGAACAAAAATAGCTCTGTGAGATAAGGGAATATAGTGAGTAGACTCTAATAGAGTTATTATTAAAAAATTACATTTTGCTTTTTCATAGAGTGTATACGTCTGTATTTCCTTTTTACAATTGCTTTTGCAAACCTGCTTGGGGAAAAAAATCAATGTCTTTGCAAAGGAATCTTTGGCTTTTTCACTCTGGTGATTTTTAAACATTTTAAAAAGCTTGATCTTCTATTTAAAACACACACATACACCAACACACAGAGGAGGAGAACTTTTGACACTGATAGGAAGCAGAGGGGAATAAAAAGCCTTGTTTCTCCTCAGGGTACACCTGATTCCTAGAAATCAGAACCTGAGGCTTGAACAGGCTCCCCCCTGAAGCTCCAGGAACAGTCATAAAATAACTGCGTGTTTGTATGCACTTGCTTAAATTCGCAATTGGTGGTAATAATGAGGCCTAATGTGGTTGTTGGAAGATAAAATGTTATATACCAAAGACTTGATGGGCTAATTTGATTTCCTTGCTTTACTGCTGATAATATATTGATTGAAAATAAATCACTTTCACTAAAGACGTTCAAAGTTGAGGGGGGGGAGGGGATATTTTGTTCCACTTAGAGGAAATAATTTCTGAGAAATAACTATACGAATGCATGCATTATTTTTATGCTACTAAAAGCACGAAGTGGCTGAAATGGAGGGACAAAGACATCCTATTGTGAGCTAAAATCTTATATCCAATTTCCTGTGAGTAAGGTCCTTGAACTCTGGAAATTACTTCTGAGTAGGCAAGCCGTATCATACTGCTAAGCCCCTATGAAAGATTTATGTGCTTAATTTTTTCCCCCCCACCGAAATTAGTATGATTTCAGTGTGTTTAACTCTGGCGGGATTGATTTGTGCCTTATCATTGTCCTTGTGTGGTAGAGCAAAAGGGAGATTCAGCACAACTCCATTCTCTTCCCTATCTCTCTTTAAACTGCTGCCAGGGCTGAGCAAGAATCGGCCTGGGCCGTCTGTTGCACTAGACATGCCCCAGCAGCCTGTGATGATGCCCTGATACTATCTTTCTCGTTTGTGGGTTGCCACTCTTTTTTTTTTAATAGCATAATAAATATTGCCTCCTGAATCTGGGTTTCAGAAATGAGGCTGGTGGGCTTTGGTGGAGACTGAAGGGAGGGAGGGAGAGATGGAACATCTTTCCCATTCTTTTTATCTGAAAGAAAAATAATTTGGGACAGCTTTGCTGAAGAGACTGGAAAGGAAGTAATTGAATAACTTCCTCATTCTTTTTTTTTTTTCTTTTCTGCTTCTCTGAATGTCTTCCAGGGTTCCCAGTATGAACTGAAGGACAACCCTGGAGTCCACCCTGCTACCTTTGCTGCTCATACCACTCCTGGTTATTATCCTTACGGGCAGTTCCAGTATGGGGACCCAGGAAGACCTAAGAATGCCACCCGAGAGAGCACCAGCACCTTGAAAGCCTGGCTGAATGAGCACCGCAAGAATCCCTACCCAACCAAGGGTGAGAAGATCATGCTGGCCATCATCACCAAGATGACCCTCACACAGGTCTCCACCTGGTTTGCCAATGCCCGGAGGAGGCTGAAGAAGGAGAACAAGGTCACATGGGGAGCCCGGAGCAAAGATCAAGAAGACGGCAATCTCTTCGGAAGCGACAATGAGGGGGACCCTGAAAAAAATGAAGACGATGAAGAGATTGACCTGGAGAGTATTGACATTGACAAAATTGATGAGAACGATGGAGAGCAGAGTAATGAGGAAGAGGAAGAGAAAGTTGAGCTCTTGAGGCAAAGGAGAGAAGATGTCCATTTGGAGAAAAATAAGATCTTGCCGATACCAGGCTCTGAAGGACTTAAACCCAAGGAAACCTTGCCATTGGGCAAGGAGGCCTCAGACGACCCTACTCGGATCTTGAGCCCCAGCAGACAAAACACCCTGCAAGGCCCAATGCACAACAAGCCCAAGATCTGGTCTTTGGCAGAGACTGCAACTAGTCCCGATGGAGCCCTCAGCAAGCCAGCTCCTCCTTCACCTCCTGCCCAAGTGAACCACACTTCCCCCCAGCTCCAGCATCCAGCTTTCCTTCCCAGCCATGGACTTTATACCTGCCAGATTGGCAAGTTTCACAACTGGACAAATGGGGCGTTTCTCACCCAAAGCTCCTTGCTAAACGTGAGGTCCTTTTTGGGAGTTAATCACCACCATGCTGCCCATCACAACCATCACCTTCAAGCCCAGCAGCCACCTTCAGTGTTAACAGCACTCAGCACTGAAAAACCTTCTGAGAGGACCAGCCCCAAACACATAGGTAATGTTTGAAACAGGCAGATAAAGAGGCTCCTTGCAAGTGGGTTGGTGTGACCCTTTCAAGGTAGTCCAAAACCAGGAAACCAAAACCCAAGAATATTAACACTACCTTTATTGTGAGTTCGTAGTACCTCTTCCCCTGCCTTTTATGTTCCAGAAAACTGGGGGGTGTCAATTTTGAGAAGCTTTCTCCCACCCAATTCCTGCTTTGGACTCAGATTACTCTTTTCAGACTGTTGTTCAGGCTGTGTCTCTTCCTCCTGTCTCTCAAGGTTATTTTCACAGCACATTACACTTGGGGATAAGTCCCACTGAACTGGTATTCAGCCACCTTGGTGCTGTAATTTTTTCCCCTCTCTCTCTCTCACTCTCCCCTATGAAACCTCAGGTCCTTGAATAGAGCCATAACTGCTAGGTTGTCCTATGACAGGGAAGCTGCCTTACACAGCTCAAGTGGATAAAAGGCTAAGAAAACTGGGATAGTCCAAATTATTCTGTATTAACAGGACTATCAAGGCTTTCGGCTTCTGAAAAGCATGAAGTGTGCACAAACATATTTAGTTGACTTTGGAGGGGGAAATGGTGAGACCTTCTAGTATTAAATGACTGTTAAATGTATTAGATTAATAATAAAAAAAACCTGTATCCATTGTAGTATTGCAAACATAAAGAAATGTTATTCTCTTCACACAGCTGATGGGGAAGTCACTGGGAAATTTCCTGGTAGATACAAGACTTGAACTGGGTTTCTAGATTCATGTATTAGTCACTCACCCAATAGACTATGCCTTTAAAAAAAAGGGGGGGGGGTGAGATGGTGGAATAGTAGTATTTATTGTGTACACTATCTGTCTTTGGCTCTACATGCGGTGTAGGTAAATTTTGTTAAAGTTCTTTTTCTTTTCCTTTCTTTTCTCTTTCTTTCTTCTGCAGAAAGAGAAAATGTAGCAAGAACCGACTCTCCGCCTCAGCAGTTAAAATCCCCCTTTCAGACTGTCCGGGACAAGTGAGTTCTTGTTCAGTGAAATTTACTTAAAGGAAAGAAAGTGCTTGGATAATGCAGACTAATCCAAGCACACCCTCATTATCATAAATCAAAGCAACAATCAAGCAATTCAGTAGAGCTTTTCAAAGTGGTATAACTTACAAACTATATACTTTCGCCTGGAAGTTTTGTGTGTGTGTGTGTGTGTGTGTGTGTGTGTGTTTAGAAACTGACTTCCCCCACCACCAATGTCACATTGCATTTCTATTGTGTGTGTGTGTGTGTGTGTGTGTGTATCCTTTTTTTAAAAAAATGTAGTCAGTTCCCTAATGCAGATGGGCGACAAGTAGCTGAGCTTTCACTGATAGATGGTTCTGTCTTTTCTTCCCAACAGCTCTTTGACTCAACAAGAGGGAACATCGTGAATTTTAACAACTCTCCCTTCTGCTTGATTAAATGTTTTGGGGGGTTTTGTTTTGTTTTTTGTTTTTGTTTTTATTTTTTTTTTGATGGAAAAGGAAATTTCACAGACTGGTCTAAAGAACAAAACAAAAATGGAAATGCTTTAAATGACTCCCATCAATCTCTTTTTGCAATAAGGTAGTAGCAATTCATAAAAAAAAAAATCCAGCTCCTTAACTGGACTCTTCCGGTTTCCATTATTCCATTTTAAGAAAGTGTAATTCTAACCTTGATTGGGTAAATTGTTTTTGCTAAAGGTTTCTCATGTGATTGTGTTCTTCTGTATATAAAGTGGTTTCAAATTGTAAATAGCGCCACAGCAAAAAAAACTTGTCTAAATCATATATTTTTGCCTAATAAACAAAAATGAAATTACGACTTTGCCCTGCATAAGTGACTTTTGGTTTTGCATATGGAAAACTCAAGGCTTTTATTGTTTTCCATCCAATATTAGTAGGGCTTTAAGCACTAATCTGTTCAGTTGATAGATTAATTGACTAAAGCTTGGGTGACTAATTATGAATATAACAGAACTGGCACACTTTAAGTAATTAGCCGTGTGGCTAAAAAATTATTTAACAGAGAAAAAGGGTTTTTTTTCCCCTTCTAAAATTTTTGCACCTAAACATTTTAGCTATTTTAAATTTCTAAAAGTACTTCAAAATTATATTGGTTCTGTGATATTAGTAGTATGCAAGTTGAATTGATTACGTTTAATCAATAAGTAATTATTGTACTGCCCAGTCTACTCAGACGTAAATCCTATTGAACTAAATGAATGTCACCCTCAGGTGCTATATTTAGAATTGCAATCCTGGGTTAAAATGGCAGTTGATGGATAAATTATTTAAACTCTACATGGTCAACATTAAATACTTATGACAATTTCCACAGCAAATGGCACCTTAGAGCAACTCGCATTGTGTACTTTTTCATAATTGTGAGCTTTCTCATTTAAATCAAAGTGTGCTTTATTTGAAGGGGGTGTCTGGAAAGGACCTGCAAATGTGTTGCTTTTTTTGTGCTAGAGAAAATTAATTCTTCCTTGAAAGGGGAAAAGGCTGCTGTATAATTCTTTTCTAATCCAAGCGCCAGGTTCAATAGAGAGGCCTCTGTACAGTATTAAGTGGCTCTTTATGTTGAATTGACTGCAGAACTAGTTTACTCCAAGGCTGAGGGGTGAGATAGGAAAACAGACATAGAGAAAATAAAACTGGGGTGTCAAGATTGAGTTTTGAGATGGAGAAGAGCCTTTGGGAGTCTCTCCCCCCCCCCGTGGAATTTTAGCTTGTAATCCTTGTAGCAAAAGAAAAAAGGAACTGTAAATCATTGGCCTTCTTAACAAGGGGGGAATGAGAGAGGAAGAGGCAAGTTCCCTCAAACTTGGCTAATCTCCCAAAGATTAGCCCTTGCAAAAGGTGCAATATTTTTCCAGAGGCTCCCAATCTCTCCACCGACTCTCTCTCTCTCTCTCCAGCCACCCCCCCCCCCAGTTTTCTCTTTTTCCTAAATGAGAATGCTAAATGAGCATTGAGGTGCTAATCAGATACCAGATGGTTGTTGACGGTGGAAAATGGAAAGAAGCAGCTGGGAAAGTCATTAAAAAATCATGCTGGAGACAGCCTATCCGAACTGTGCCATCCTCGGAGCAGGACTTGTCGGAAATCAGAACGAGATTTGAAATCAAATATTAATAAATTCCCCCGTCAAGGGTGACAATATTGATCTGGGGTTTTCTTCCGTTTTCCCCTTGCACGGGAGAGCACTGCATGCAAAAAAAAGAAAAGAAAAGAAAGAAAGAAATTTTCCTCCCTTTGAGAAAATTTGCTGGTGCTTTGTGGATCCTTTTTCCCCCTTCCATCCTTCCCTGAAGCAAGAAAGAAAAAAAGAAAAAGAAAAGGAGGGGTGGGGTGGGGTGGGTGGAAGGGAGGGAGGGAAGCATGGGTGGATCTTCGTAGCGGGAGAAACGAAATACAGGCCAGGCTTTTTCTCTGCTGTTCGGGATTTGGACCTAGGGGACGCCTGGCCACCGGGAGCGAGTGCGCGTCCTTAAGAACCAGCCGAAGTTTAGCTGAGCTTCCTACGGCCGTAATTTTTTTTTTTCCTTCAGAAATTGAACTTCAACCCGTCCTATTTCCAAGCAAGTCTGGCCGTAACCGGGTGCTTTACTTAGGAAGCCAGGCTTCTGAGTAGGGCGTGTGGGTGCAGCAGGTTTACCCACCTCTCAGGGACTGAGAGCCGCTTACTTGGATGTAAGAGCCCCCCGCGTGCAACAAGGCGCCCTTCCTAGCAAGCTGGCTCAGAAGCGCAGCCCGCGGGTGTGTGTGCCTGAAGCCCGGTGCGATCGTGGCAGAAAGCGGTGGCGTTTCTTTCTCCCGATAGTTAAGAGCCGGAAGTCTGCTAAACACAAGTTCCTCCGCGCTTGAATTGCAGGCCGCTGTTTTTGTCGAAGAGCGAGCGAGAGAGGAAGAGAAAGATTCGTGCCTCGTCCCGAGTTCGCATTAAACAGAAGGGCATTCTCCAGAGTTTGTCTAGTCTCTCCTTCCGCCCGTTCATCCTTTTCTCTCATACGTGTTTATAAATTTCGTTCCCTTCTCTCTCTCTTTCAAAATCTGTACTAGCAATTGAAGGCTTTGAGGTACGGACGTTATGAAAGAACGCGGTGGGGGAAATAACTATTTCTAAAACAGGGAAGTAGACCGCGCGGAAAAACTCCCAGTCCGCCCCGGGACTGGAAGAATTTAGCGAAGAATCTCCTGCTTGTCTGCCTGCCTGCCTGCTCGCTGGGTCTCCTCCCTCTCGCTCAGCAAGTGAGATTTCGGTCTCCTCAAACACGAGCAGGGCTTTCGCTTAACGACTAGCGTCTCAAATCGGACACTGCTCACTCCCCGAAGAAAGCAGTCCGAGCAGCGGGGATCTTGGGACCCCGCTGCGAAGCCATATAGATAGGAAAAGGTGGATCGTTTGCTCCGCGGTGAAAGCAAAAGTGCATTCCGGGCAAGAGCTTTGGGCGCGCGCGCACTGGCGCGCTCCTCCGCCTAAGTACTGGAGGCTTGGGACTCCGAAGCAGCCGTCCTCTTTAGCAAAGCTCGCAGCGCCCTCTATAGGCCCGAGGAGGAATCGTTTTCTTCCCTAGGTCCTGGGAAAATAGGAAAAGGAAAGCCGCTCGAGGTCTTCACTTGCTCTCTAAAACAGTGTTTCTCAACCTTGACAATTTTAAGGCATGTGGACTTCAACTCCCAGAATTCCACAGCCAGCAATGCTGGCTGTGGAATTCTGGGAGTTGAAGTCCACATGCCTTAAAATTGTCAAGGTTGAGAAACACTGCTCTAAAATGTTGTCTCGCGTTATTAACGTCCCTCGCTTTGTCCAGCGGCCTTCAAGCCTTCTGCACAGATCCGCAGGAAAAAAAAAAACCTTCGCCGCCCTTTCGTGTTCCGGACCCTGGGGAAGACCTGCTCGCATCTCTTTGCATTAAATGTGGCAAGGGTTCCTCAGCTTTACTAAATCCAAAAATTCAGTCTCGAAATACATGCAAGTTCAACAGCAGGTTCTTTTAGCCCCCCCCCCCCTCCCGTTCAGGCTGAGCCTGTGCTGAACAGAACTGTCGGCAATGCAAAAGGGGGACGCTTTAAAACATGTTCCATTGATTTCAAAGGCGAAGCGAGCGAGCTAGTTTGATCCTTTGTAGGTGCCTTAGAAGTAAACCCCACCGAGTTCAGGGTGGCTGCCTTCTCCGCCCCTGTTCAAAGGGCTGCGTCGCAAGTTCTGAAATACATCGATCTGAGGTTTAGAAGGTCTATACGTTACCTCGAGAGTCATTCCGATGACTCTGCAAGGTTGTTATATAAGGTCAGAAACGGGCGGTGGTAGTTGAAACTAGTATACTGTATGGCGAGTTGCAGAAGATCAAGCAGTGACTTCCATAGGAAAATAGTATAGTCCCTTTGGTTTTCGAGTGTAGGAGATGCAAAACTAAGGTATTTTTTTTTTCAATGTTTAGTTATTAAATTAGCCCTGGCAGAAAGAGCGGCGTTGGTGAACTTGTGCTTGTCATTACCTTCCACCGTCCAAGCGCTGTTAAAAATCTGTTATTCCAGTGGAAACGGTTTAAGCACGCGCCGCGTAAAATTCTCCACAATCTTGGGACTCCAACGCTGTGCACTATGGCTCCCCTGGAATCGAGTCCCTCCCAGGCAGGGCAACAACTTCCGAATTTTCCGATACCGTTTATACCCCGCTCAATCGAGCTGACTGGTCCGGGCCCGCGAAGAGGTTCCCTGGAGAACCACGTCGCGAAACGCGAGAACCGCGGCCTGCACGGGAAGTCCAGCGGCCTCGTCCGCCGCGCTCTTGTCTTCAAGAGCGGCAGCGGCGGACGCAGGAATGTGTCGCGTTCCCCCGCAATGGAGAATCCCCCAGGATTTGCCGGACCCAGTCAGAGTTCTCGCTCTGTCGGGGAACCGCCTCGGCCTTCCACTAGCGCTGGAGCGGCGAAGGAGCCGCCCGGCTGCCCTCCCCTAACGCTTCCTCCTCTTGAAATAGGGCGGCAGTGCAAAACGCCGTACGGTTTGTTTCAATAGGTGCAGTCCTGCTCTCCCGCTTCCTGCCGGGAGAAGTTATCGGGTCCTTGTAAACGGCTCTTTTCTTTCAAAAGCAAGCAGGGAAAAGGGAAGAGCAAATGCGGCCCGGTCGGGTGCTGGCAAAAGGCGGGCTGCAGCGTCCTCCACCCCGGGGAACGCCGGACCCGAACCCCGCAGACAGAAGCCTCCTTCGGGGCACGGCAGAGCTCCCTCTCCCTGACAGAGGGCTCCCTAGGAAGAGGCCAGCCCGGCCGGGAGAGCCACCCAGTGGGGAAGGCCCTGCCTGAAGAGAGAACCTGGTAATTTAGCCTGGCCTGGCAGGCCCCCTCTAGTGTTGCTGGACCGCTCTTCCCATTCCGGGAGGGGAGGGTGGGAGATGGTCCTCGACATCTGGAGGGCCCAGGGTTGGGGAAGGTTGGTGCCGAACAACGCGGCCCTATTAAGAGTGCTTTGATTCGAAGTAGAAGCTGCAGCCGAGGAACGTGGCCCACAGAAGGACTGGGGAGGGTATGCAACAGCTAGTCATAATCTGCGGCCTATTTACCCAGAAATAGTATTTTGGGATTCAACTGCGTCCTTGTTATCGCCGTCGAATGCTGGGAGCAGGAAGTGTAGCAACGCTTCGTAGAAAACCTCAGGCAAGGAAGCTGAGCAACCTCAGCGGCCCTTCGCTCTCGCCATAATCAGACTCAGTAGTTCTCAATCCTGTGCGCTCCAGGAACGCTGGACACCACATACTCCATGCGTCGCAGACACCATGGCTTTGCTGAGTGGGGAAGTAGGAAAGTGTTCACCCGACTCAGTCTGGCAGGTACCTGTTTTAAAGGAAAGCCAACCGAGGCCAGAAAGGTGGGGGGGGGGACTGGAGGGAGGGTCAAGGCCGCGAAGAGAAGAGGCCGTCGCGTCGAGAAGACGCCTTTAGCCGGCGAGCGGTGCTTGAGGAGCCCGAAGAAACGGGACTCTTCTTCCGCGGCTGCCCTGCTCTCCCACCCCCTTTTTCTTTTAATTGAACTTTATGCGATCGATCGGTACCAGCGCGAGCCATTTATTTTTGTCGGTTAGAAAAGAACGGGGCGCTTAATCCTCGCTTTCCAGAAAAGGAGGGCGCCTTTTTCCTCCCCCGGTTCTGCCTCTGTTCGCAACGTTTTTATTTGCGGGACAGCTGCTGCCTTTCGTTGATTTATGGTTCAGGAGAGGAGGGGAAGGGAAGATGGCCGGCTACCTCGGACAAGGCCCAGGCGCGTCTTTGCCATTCGCTCGAATTCGCGCTCGTCCCGCGCTCTCTGGCCCTTAAAAGGACTCAAAACCTCCTCCTGTGGGGTTGGAGTCAAGTCTGAGAAATTCGAGGCTCTGCTTGTTGCGAATGGAGTCCCATTAAGTCCCGCGGTCTTACTCCCGGACGAATGGATCTAGTATTTTTAGCTTTGAGAACCAGCGAGCCTCTCTGACTGTCAGAGAGTCGTATTTGCTTTATTTTTTATTTTTTCCTATGGCGCGCCGGTCCATTGGCTCCCAAGCACATTTATCTCTCCCCAGTGCCAGGCAATATGGAGAATTCATATGCACGTCTCTCTTTTAGTGGGCTGACACTGATTAATGTAATATGCACCCCCCCCTGGCTCCAGAAACAGATCCGGCCTATGAATCATGCGCTATAAAGTTTCAATCGTCCTTGTTGGATGAGAGACTGTTACAAAGACAGTGGGCAGGGGGTGGAGGGAAGAGGGGGACATGGAGAGGGAAGAGAAGAGAGAGAGAGAGAGAAATGTGCCTTGTACCTCCAGGCTTCCATTCTTAAAAAGAAGAGGTCCCCATTTGGAGGAGACCTTATTCACCAACTGTGGAGGTATTTGCCCACTCTGTAGAAAGGAGAAAGAACCC